AAGATGCCCACTAACAGGGAACTGCCCCATTGACAGTGCTCTGTTCCTCTGACTCGGTGTTTGAACTTACAACATTTCCTCAAGATATCAGGCACCTTAGTTTGCTTTCTTTTAAGCTATTGTCTCACATATTTTCTGACTTAGTTTAGCCACAGAGGTCCAACACTTCATGCTTTCTTTTTTGTTAGCTATGTTTTGAGGTCTGGCATGACCTAGATACCCTCTGCTTTCCAAACCTGAAGAAGAGATGCTCCAAGGGGCCTGGCCAGTGAAGAAGCTGTCAATCTGGGGAATAGCTGGTCTTGGCCTTGTGTTTAACATTCTTAAAGGTAGCTTCTCCCACAGGTTTCTGGTCTTCTCTGACAGGGAAAGCATCATTGGGCTCTTAGGAGTCAGTGAATATATTGCTTCTTTAGAACAACCGTTTTCAACCCATGGGACGTGACTCCCTTGGGGGTCAAATTACCTTTTACAGGGGTCATATGTCAGATACCCTGCATATCAGATATTTACATTATGATTCATAACAGTAGCAAAATTAGAGTTATGAAGTAGCAGTAAAAATAACTTTATGGTGGGGGTCGCCACAACATGAGGAACTGGTTGCAGCATTAGGAAAGTTGAGCCACTGCCCTAGAGTTTCTGGGATGGGTAAGCTTATAGACAGGAAGACCTGTCTCCCCACAGGGTGCTACTGGGACCACTTGCACTCAGCAGTGAGGCTCTTTAGGCAGCTGGTCAGTGGCTCTCCAGTTCAGGAAGCCCACAGTGGCTACAGAGAATTTCCACTGTTCCAGAAACTAGTTGGGTTTTTAATTCCATATCCCACTTGCCTTGCTCTCAACCTTTAGCAAATACATCAGTCATGCAGGTAACCTGTGTGACCCAGCACTTCCTGAGAAGAGACCAGAATAATGCCGAGAACACTGAAATAGGCAGGGTAATTCTTGGCATTCATGCCAGTCGGGTGAGCAAATGCCGCCAGTGCTGCATAAAGCAGGGCGATTTGAGTGAATTGCCCAAACGTTTTACAGGGGGCTAATAGGCACGGCTGCAAGGACATTTTTGTACAACCCACTTTACAGAAGGCATCCTCTGAAATGCTGTCCATAGATCCTATCCTTTTATCCTTTAACACCATGTGCTCTTATAGGTAGGGGCTTCCTAGAAGCCTCCACCACCCCTACTTGACAAAGACCCAACAGAAGCTCAGTTGCCTATGATGAGACCTTTTTTTGCTCAAGTCTTTCAGGCATGCATACCAGCAAATAAGATTAATGCAAGAGTCTCTTAGGAAGAATAACTTGGAAGGGTCTGAAAGCAGCTGCCTGGTGATGTACATGTCCCTCCATATAGAAAGAGGAAGAGCTTGCCTGATGTCCTGGATAATGAGGAGTCCTATCAAAGATATTACACATTAAGTATAGTGAAAGGTACATAGAGGCTGCTGGTCAGACTCAAAGGTCATCACTTTCCCCTCACACTGTCTAGACATTAACACAAGAGAAGACCCACAGCTGTCAAAGGCTCAGTTCTAGCCCAGAGAACATTATGGAAATGTGGGTATAAGATATCACATAGATGCAGCCATGGCTCCACTGGGCCCCCCTCGCTGGGAGATTCTTAATGCTGGTGACTTCTTATCAAGAACCACTCTGTGCTTAACTGAGAACAGAAAGCAAGTAGAAGCCTTGCTTCATGAGCATCTTTATTAGTCAGTGACTCATAGGTTTGAGACTGTTTCCTAAGGACAACTTCAGATGTTTTAGCTTGATGGGTCCTTCAATTCTTTGTTATTTCACAGAAAGTAAATATGCAGTAATACGCATATCTATAGCAAGATGGCTTGGTGGGCAAAGGCACCTTTCACTAAACCCAATGACCTAAGTCCTATCCCCTTGACCCATGTGGTAGAAAGAGAGAACTGATCTCTGATGTTGTCCTTTGTGTCCCCAACCTGCAAACACACACACACACACACACACACACACACACACACACACACACACACACAGAAAAATAAATCAAATATAAATGTTAACATGTTAAAATTAGTAAGTATAAAGCAGAATGCATTTCATGTTGTTGTAACTTGGGATACAACCGAAACGGTCACCTCCAGCCTCCATGATATACATAAGTCCTGAAAGCCCCTTCTCCCCTCAGGACCAAAAGGGCACCATGTAGGACCTGACTTGGGTGATTAGTCGGGCAGAGATTTTTCAGGATGTAGGAGTTGATGCAATTGCCCAAAAATGTAATATTTATACCAGGGAAAAGAGCACATACTACCCTTCCCCAGAGTTACTACAGGTGTCACAGTGTTGGACACAGCGTTGGCTGGCCCTCCAACTTCTGAGATTCCTTGGGACCCCAGCCTCACAGCCTCTGCTTTGACAAAGGGGCTGCTGTCCTCCGTGATGTTCCCATGTGGACAAGGGAGGTGGAGAATTTGAATGTTAGTCAAATTAATGATCTTGGATATAGAGTGGGAAGAGCCACCATCAAAGTAGTCTGGGACTTTGAAACTAATTGATTCCCTGTTAAATGTATCCAGAGGGTTCCCTGAGATGTGTAGGAATGATGATTCTAGAACCAGATGTGAGAGGCTACCACACTGTGGACCTGCCTTGACACCCTGAGTGCGTCCTGTATGGACAATGACCTAAGTAGAGGTTTGTTTTAAAGGTGAGGGAGGAAACTACAATTCCTGACCTGGATTTAAGGTGCCAAGTCTTAAGATGGCTAAGGCACTATGCATACTTGGGGATACTGGAGGAAAGGGCCTTTTGTGACAGGAGACCCCTTTCTCTGTCTTCTGTTTGACACATCCAAGCTCTTAAACCCTGGTTAGGAGTGAATGATCAAGGATAACTAACTGTAATTAACTTGAGTATGTGTTTCATTAGGCATAGGTGGCTAGCAGCCACTATACTCAGAGAATTCCCAGGGTTTCCATGGTCATGATGAATAGTACCCTTCGTGACCAACATATGGGGATGCATTCATTACACTGGACTCCGGCATGGGGCCAAGTGTTCTTCAGACCCTCTTCCTCCTAACCAAAACCATTAGTCATTAAGATCAACACATAGACAGACACTGGCAGACATTACCCAGTTCAGAATCTGTCACTGGGATGAATGCAACTGAGATTCACCCGTGAAACTCTCAATCCACTGCAAGATGAGTAGATATCCCATTTTCTGGGTGGTGAGTTTCAGAGTTACAGATGAGTTACAGAGCAATACCACCCTTTCCAAGTCACCAGAGCCAGAAGTCCCATCCAGACATATCTTAACCAACTTGAACCCAGTTGGCTAGTCACAGAGAGCTTCTGGGCAGCTAGAAGACCCTACTGAAGCAAAGTTCCATGCTTGTTCTAATAGCATTGTTTTCCCTTCCTAGGGTGCTCATAGATGTTTCTGTTTGAGTGTGATTCCCAGTGGGTACACACCTTACCATTGTTATATACATCTGGCTTCATACCCCTTGGTGAGGTTTATTTTCTACCTGGTGTTGGTAACATCCTTTTATGTTGCTGTCTAGCTCCAGTGACTACCAGCTATGTCAAAGTCCAGGATTGGTTCCTGTTTGGCCCTCTCATTTTCATAACCTGCCAATGCCTAAGTCCAACTTCCCTGGTGTGTGACTTTTGGATACATGGATTCAAAAACAAATGACTGAAATGGATGAAAATGGAGATGGCATCTCAGCATTGAACAAGCTTCCTGCTTGATTACTAGCGTTCCATTAGGTTATTTTACATAAGGCTAGTCCTTTTGTTTCCTAGCTAATGGAATCTTAACTATTGGCCAGAGGTAGGGTTGATACTAAGAAGTAGCTCCTCTTGTGGACAGACCATTTGCTCCATGTTGGAATGGCCAAAGTCAAGGTAGGATAAGCACCAAGTGCCTTGCCAGTGAAACCAGTGCATTGACTTTACTTACTGCCCTGGAAGGCAGAGGCTGTTCCTTCTCCACTGCTTATAAATAAGCAGACTCTGCCTAATTCAACCACAGAAATCCTCCACAGGATCTTTGAGTCTGGGTGTTTTGCTGCAGTGATAATGTATTACCTGGCTTCCCTTCGTCACGCTGCTGCCAGCTCACTTCAGCCACAGAGTAAAGGGCACCAGTCACATGGACAAGAGAGCACAGCCTCACATCCAACCTCCAAAACATAGGGTGGAGTAGATGAGGTGGTTTCAAAGGGTAGAAAAGAAAAGGCTTGGTAGGTCAGATGAAGGCTGGTGAGCCATGGGCACTGTTTGAAAACGCACAGAACCAGCCCTGGCAGCCTTGTTCACAGTGAGGGCTTGGGGACATGTGTTTCCTAGCTTGGATGATCAAAGTTGGTCAAGTCCAACAAGCCCTCGTTGATGTTGGGCCGTGTTGTAGTCCAAATGGACACCAAAGACAACTCATGGGTACCGGTGTATGCCTCCTAATCACCTACAAATAGGGCATGTCTAAAGAGGGGATCTGCTTCTGTATGCTCCAGGAAAAGAATGAAAACTGAAGACTATATGGTTCAGAATACCGATTCCATTGAAATCATTTATCACTTGTTATAATTTCTTTTTCCTACTGCCCTATGATTTGTTTTCCCCCTCTTCTATAATGGGATTCCTAAGAATCAAGTGGCGTCCTATTTAGATATTTTGAACTGATTTGTGTATTACAATTCATGAAGATCAGAAACATTAATCTGAATAGATCACAAGGAAGACCCATCAACTCAGTATATACAGGTAGAACTGGAAACCAAGTCCAGATGGGTAAACGCTAACCAACAAATGAATGTCAGAGGTGAGTGTGTCAGGAAGCCTGGCCTTCAACACACCCGTGTCCCTTGAAACTCACTAGTTCTTCAGACTGTAGCCCTGACACCGAATATAAAACACTGGCATTAGACTTCTTAGGAATGGGACTTTGGGGCTGTTGATGGGCCTGCAAATGGTAAGCCTGCAGGAAATAAGACACAGTCAACATACATACCCTTCCCGGTGGGCCTCTCCTTTCTCCAGCTCCTGAATGACTCCCAGCAGCACTTTGATGGTCTCCTGGCTAGAGCTGATTAAGTTCTCCATCACCTGCAGCTGGGCCTTGAGGTCTACCACTTCTGTGTGAGGCACAATTTGTTGGCGTTCTTCATCCCCTACCCCAGCTGTAGGGCTGGGCTGGTTCTGCAGGGGCTGTTCGCTACATTCTGGGGACAGGCACTGCACTGGGGGTGAGCAGGCCAGAGCAGAGCCAGTGGATGCCTGCAGCCCATTGAAGTGGGTGGCCCTCTTCTGCTCCTCATCTGCAGGGCAGAGAGACCATTGGCTGGCAGCAGCAGAGTTTGACAAGCTAGATTCAGGGGCCCTGGTACTGGTGGCAGGCAGGTATACAGTGGCGACCTCTGTTTTAAACACCCTTCCATGGGCAAGTGGAGTGGGCTCCTCTGAGTCCAGCCTGCTCCTGTCTGGCTTAGCTCTCCCCTGCAGCTGGTGGATGGGCTCCTCAGAGGGAGGCCGGGAGTTCTGCACTAGAGCTTCAGGGTAGCCAAGCATGTCTGGAGTCTTGCAGAGCTCTGCACAGTTGACCCCAGAAGGCTGGTCCAGTGCATTCACATGCTCGTTGGAATGGAAAACCAATGCTGTAGTCTTGTGAATCCTCCCTGCACTGCAAGGCCGGGAGTCCTCCATGAGTCCTGCCTCGCTCTTCTCTTTTGAATCTGCTAGAAACCCATTGTTCTGGCCTTTGAAGGCATCTGCAGCTGGCAGGCTTTTGAGACTGCCTTTCTTGCGGTCCAGCGGGAATGTCTGGTAACACTTGCGAAGGTCTGGTGAGGTCTGCACACCCGTGCTCTTGGTGACATTGGGAATGGATCGGCGGGCGGGCACTGTCATATACTTACGGTATGCCGCCCTACAGGACACAGCCTTGGCTTCTCGCTTCTCCCCCAGAGGTCCTGCAGACTGCTGTGTGTCCCTCTGCTCATTCTGGGCCTCACAGATATCCTTAAAGCGCACCTGCAGGGCTTTGTTCCGCTTTTTGATCTGCCGGTTGGGGTCTAGGGCATATCTCATCTCCAGGGCCAGGCAGGCTGCTGGCTCCACTTCCCGCTCTGGTGTCGTGAGTATGCATCTGCCTGAGTCTTTGCTGACCATGGTGCCTGCATACAGAGACAGCAACAGAAGCATCAGTGGGTCAGAAGCACACACACAAACGCAGCCGAATGGACTTCCAGCCAAATTACGGCTGCCGGCTTCCTAATTATTTTTAAACAGGTGAGGTTGGCCTTTATGTTAAGGAAAATCAGACAGGCGGGGAGTTGCTGGCAGGCACAGCATGAAATGTTTCTCAATATTAAAGCCTGCTTACTTTTCCATGTGGGATACACTCGTTTTTTCGTTTGATAGTAATGTTTGTTTCCCCATTAGACAAACCTGTTTTACTATATTCATCAAGCAGCCCAATGACACTGTCTCATCAGCTTTGCAAATTATCTTTTCACATGTGTGTCTCCACTCCGTAGGCAGATGGTTTACCAAATGCAACTTATTTAGTTTAGGCTTTTTACCTTTTTTTGTTTGTTTTGTTTTGCGGATGACGTGACTGATCTATTATTGGAATCTAGCAGTATTAAAGACTTACTGAAGATTCTAGGTCCTGAGCAGATAGATGTGGCCTTGCAAGCAGGAAACAGGGTCAGTCAATGGACTGTGGGGAGCCAGCCATACTCCCCCACAGGGCTATCTCTGGGGATAAGTCATGGTGGGGAGCATGGCTTCTAGAAACATCAGTCATGAACGTAACGTGGGTTTCCCTGAGTCTACAAAAACAGCAATACCATCTCTTTTCTGTGATTCCATGGAGAATGGTATTTGGAAATTACTTTAAAAAATAAATTATTCATTCTAGAATCAAATTTTATGTTTTGATCACAACCCCTGAAAAAAATGACAACAATGGTAGTTGTTCTAGCATTTAAATGCTGAAAGAAAATAAAATCAGGAGGCTTTTTGTTAATCATGCAGATTCATCTCAGGCTGAGCTATTAAATGCAGCTAAAGAGATGCAGGTGGCCAATGATTCTCTGGGGAACTCCAGGAGGGTAAGTGCCTTCCCTTTATTAGATAAGCAGATTCGCAGCTGCTTATTGCACACCGAAGAACTTTCTTGGGGGCTGCACTTGAAGCAAGATACAGGGAAGATTGGCAAATTTCTATTTCTAGCTACTTAGGAAGCTGAGGCAGGAAGATCACAAGTGTAAGGCCTGCTTGGGCTGCAGAGTGAGCTCAAGGCCAGGCAGCGCAAACTAATGAGCCCTGTCTCAAAATAAAGTAAAAAGTAGGTCTGAGATAAAGCATTTTCTCAGTATGTATGAGGACCTGGGTTCAATCCTGGGTTTGGCATAACAAAAACAAACAGATTATAGAGTTAAGTGTACTGTTTGTGAACTAGCTTTCTCCTGACATTTGAAAGTAAAGTGGTCGGCTGGTTGGATGAGGATATACAAGAGGCTCTGGAATCAGAACCCCAGTGTTAAAGGATGCAAAGTCACAGAGATGAGTCAAGGTCAGTAAAAACCATATTACCCAGCCCAGTGTCAACAAAACTCAAGCTCTGTTCTGAGGCAGAGGATTTGCAGGGGTAGTGATGGTGACAGTGGTGCCATTATAAGTAAGAGTCTATCCCAGGGACCTGGAAGAGACATTCTTGGGCAATACATGGCAATGGAGAACTACAGAGTGCTCACTACTTATGAGGTCAGGGAACGGGTGGTAGATGTTTATTTTCTTTACAATTGGTGTCAACATTCCCGTGTCACAGAGGTATGGCATGCCACTTGTTCAGCCTCACACAACAGGTGAAAGCACAAGTAGGCCATGACCCACCATACTCGGAGCTCACACTGTTTCCAACAGACCCAGATGTCCAATATACAGGTCCAATGCCTGCCCTGTCCATAATCCTTAGCACTGTAGGCCAGCAGGTATAGTGGCTTGCTGAAGAAGAGGAAGAGAGGAACTCCAAGCCCTTGGCTTAGTGGTATCACATTACTTCTGCCTTCTCTGCAGTGGATTAGACTTGTGCCACCCTGGCCTTTGCTACCTTGCAAGCCCCCATAGGTATTCACAGCATGAAATAATCAGAGGCAAATCCAATTCCCAATTCTTCATAATAACGCCAAACACTAATGGATAGTTAGGTTAGGGCGTACCCTAAAATAATCTGTGCAGCCTTTGGTTCAATTTAGACCAGGGTTACTCATCTGCTGCTCTATGGTAGGCAAGGCAGGTGACCCGCTGATGCTGGAGGGCTCTGCGCAGTGCACACTGCTCAGCAGCCACAGTCAGCAGCAGCCCTGGCTTCTCCAGAACAGAGAAAGGAAGCATGCCTTCCTACCAGTGTGACAATCAGCAATGTCACCAAGTGAGCACCAGCACCATGGCAGCCCTGCATTGGCCTTTCCAACCATGAGTGCCCAAGGCTTTTATTGTCCCAGAGTTATGTCCTCAGAACCAAGGCTTTCAAGTAGGTCCTGGGGATATCTGCAGATGTCTATAATCTGAAACTCAACCTCCAGGACAGTTTTAGAGAGGGGGGAATAGGAGTAGACTGGACCAGAGATGTAATACATTAATATGAAGGCTCATACGGTGGAGGAGGAGCTTGTGCCTCGGGGATGGGGCAGTGCAAGGCTGCCAGCACAGATAATAGCTGTCTTTCAGGGACACTTATCCCAACAAGTAAAAGACATAGACTCAGAAGTTGGTGTGGGGGAAGAGCATTGCCAACTGGGAACATAAGAATGGGGGTTAGGATTTAATTTTCTTATCTGTGACTGTTCTTTGGCTCCCTTGCCATCTAGGTGTGTCAGAATGTATTGTGCCATCATTCTGAAGGAGACCTTCATACTAGGGAAAATTTGAAAGAGAGAGCATTTTTACAAAAAGCAATTTACCAGTAATTTTTCAGCCTTTTCCCTGCCACTCCTGAAAAATGTGTGTCTGAGTAAGTTTGTCCTGCCTCACTATTCATCATCAGGATTTGCCAGGAACTGCACTGAAATAATTTCTTACATCACTCTGCTGGTTTGCTGAGTGTTAGACCAGACCATCAAACTCATAAAACAAATCAGAGGAATTAATTGCTGGTGGTGAAAGCAAAGTAGTAAAAAGCAAAACTCTCAGCTCTTTAGGCTTTACAGAGTTGCTAAGTATGTAAAACACTATTCCATTACTAGTGAAAATGAAGATAAATAATAAGTAAGTTCTTTGCTTTTGGGGGCCTGTATGAAGGGTTGACCCTAGGGCCGTGTTCCTGCTGGGCATGTTTGAAGATGAATTTTTATTGTCTTTTTAATTACTTGTATGAGTATGAGTAGAGATGCTCTAGAAGGCTAGAGGCATTGGAAACCCCTGGAGCAGGAATTATGGGCCTTTGTGAGCTGCCTGTCATGGGTACTGGGAACTGAGCTTGGGTCCTCTGCAAGATACTGAGCCATCTATCTAGACCCTATACATGCTCTCCCTATGCCAACCTATGCTTGTGCATTGCACTTCCATCTTCTCATTTGACCTGCTAGATCCCCTTGCCTGCTGGGGAGACTCCATTGCTATCGTCATACTATAGGTTGAGACTCTGAAGGGCACAGCTGGTGGCCTGTACCATAAGTCTCTTGAATAACATTCACTTGGCATGACCCATGGTCAACTTCAAAAAGTGTCAGCTAAGTCAGGCATGGTGGCATGTACCTGCAATTCAAATACCCAGGAACCTGGGACAGGAGGATCATTGCAAGTTTGAGACTAGCCTGGTCTACACAGCAGGTTCTGGGCTAGCCAGTGATACTTAGTAAGGCCCTTTCTTTAGTAATAATAATAGCACCACCACCACAACAACAACAATAATAAAGTATCAGACAACTGAAAAGTAAATGAGTTGGTCTCCTGGCCTTCTCATATCATGTATCAGATGTGGGTTATGGAAGTGGTCCTGAAACATGTTTGTCACTGGTGCACAAACTAAGGGTTGCCTTGAAGCTTGAGGTGATCGTGAGTGTTGGATGGCTATAACATGGCTTCCTTGGGTAGGTAGCTCCACAGAGCTGGAGGCGCTGGTCCTTTGGGTGACCCTTACCTGCAGAGCAGCGAGAGTTCATAACCTGTATTAGACTTCATGGAGATATGCTTTGGAAAGTGGCGAGTCATGGTTGGGCCTGCCTAGCTCAGGGAGATCTAGATGCTGTTGAGCTGTGTAGAATATAAATGTCTTAATTACTCTCAAATTTAATTTCATAATCAAATGTGAACTGTAAATATATAAACCCTGTAGTTTTAGATTAGCGATGCCGTGTCATCTCTGTACTGTTTTAAATTAATAACACCGATAAAAACACACTCAGTTCAATTTGAAGGTGTGAGAAATGCTAACACCCTAACAATAGGTAAACAGTCAAGTGAATGATGGTGTACACTCACTCTCTGTGACCATTAAAATATAATTACAAAGGTTTGGTATCTCCAGAAAACATGAGCTAATCTTAAGTGAAAAAAATGGCCTACCAAGTTTAGCTGGGGAAAAAGAAATAAACCACAGTGATCGCTGATGTATTAAAACATTGCCTTTAGGGAGAGTGTCTTATCCATGTTTTTTGACACAAGGCTGTTACCTTACTTTTCCAGTTAAAACTCACAGAGCAAAGGCATCCCTTCTTTGACCTTTGTAAGTGTGAACACTCTCAAAGTCCCAGAAAGGACCAAATTGGTGTGCCAGCAGTCCTCAAACTCCTTCTTTGATTGTGTTGAGAAAATGCCGAATCTTAAAAGTTATGATAGTATGCATCCGTGCTTGTTATATGTAGATGTATACCTACCACATAAGTACTTATGTGTATAGACATGCTCACATGGGTTGGGAGAGTTAACAGGCCATGCCAGTATTCCAGAGAACTTACTATGAAGAAGAAAATTGCCACTGGTTTGAATTTATAAATTGATTTGCCTTGTGCTCTGTGCCTAGCATCTCCAGAAGTCTGAGGTTTCATTATCTGCATTTGTATTAAAATGTCACATACTTCCCAGTATTCCTATGTGTCCTGTAATATGGTATGTGTGCCTTGATTGGTCCTCTGACAGGTAGGACTGTAGAGAAACTGCCTGCTTT